CTCTTCCTGTAACTCTCTCATTCAAATAAATAAATAAATCTTAAAAAACAACAACACAGAGAGCACCTCAATATCTGTACTAGCTGAATGAGGAGGTGCCAGTCATGAATGGCCACAATGTGATCTGTTGTTGCTGGGGCAATGTTGGAATATAGATGCTGAATTGACACAACACCACTTCCCATACCCACGGGCAGGAAGATGGTCCCACCTCAGTTTTGCTTTCAAAAATTCACACATCACACAATCAAATAATCAGTAGAAACAAGTTTGCTGATGTTTCTAGAAGCCTGTTGACAAAGGAGCCCTGGAAATAGATTTATTCCTAATTACTGCAATTAGGGGAATAGACTAAATGTTGAAAACAACAACCCAAAACATGCACCAGAGATAACTCTAAAATCAGTGGTGATGTTTCATTTCTGAGTTGCTGAATATATTAATGAGAAAGTTCTATTTGTACTTTTGAGCTATTAATATAATTTCTATTCACTGATATTTCCTCAATAGAGTGAAGAATATGATTTTAAAAATTTAAAAATTATTTTGCTTTCTCTAGCAAGAATCAAGGCAAGAAGTTTATATTTTAATAGCCAGATCCAGAAATCGTAACATAGACCTTGAACATAAGTGGAAAATTACAGGAAGATGAAAATTTACCATTTGATAAAATGGAATTAATTTCATAGGGATATATAATTTCTTCACTCAATTTTCTACTCAACTTCTTGCTATGAAGTTACACTTCAGTAAAAATACCTTGGAGGAAGGGATTGAAAATTTTTATGAAGTCTAATAATTGAGTAGTATTTATGAAAGTTAGAAAAGATAAAATTTTACAGTACACAGAAAAGTATTCAAACTCATGGTTTAAAGATGTTGACAATATAATTTTAAGGGCTGATCTAAACATTTGTTCTGTAAAACCTGTTCCCACAAACCAATATGACACAAGTCAAATTCCAGGTTTGCTTAATAACTATGAAGCAAGAAAGAAGTAACCATCAGAACTAATTTTACTTTTTTTTTGTCTGATCAATGGCTCTATTATGACAAAAAAAAAACCCTATATGCTGATTTTCAGTTATGATGTTTATATACTATCTTTAATCCTCTAAAGAAGAAATATACTAAAAATATGACATCAACATCATATAATTTGATAGGCCGGCGCCGCAGCTCACTAGGCTAATCCTCCGCCTGCAGCGCCGGCACCCCAGGTTCTAGTCCCGGTTGGGGTGCCGGATTCTGTCTCGGTTGCTCTTCTTCCAGTCCAGCTCTCTGCTGTGGCCCGGGAAGGCAGTGGAGGATGGCCCAAGTCCTTGGGCCCTGCACCTGCATGGGAGACCAGGAGGAAGCGCCTGGTTCCTGGCTTCGGATCGGCGCAGTGCCAGCCATGGCGGTCATTTGAGGGGTGAACCACTGGAAGGAAGACCTTTCTCTCTGTCTCTCTCTCTCTCACTGTCTAACTCTGCCTGTCAAAAAAAAATCATATTATTTGGGGTAGGTGTTGTGGTACAGTGTGTAAAACTACAACTTCTGACTCCTGGATCTCCTGAATTCCATATCAGAGTGCTTGGTTCAAGTCCTGGCTCCTCCACTTCTTTCTAGCTTTTTGCTGATAGTGCCTGGGAAGGAAGTGGATGATGGCCCAGGGACTTAAGTGGCTGCCACCTATGTAGGAGACCAGCACTGAGTTCTGAACTGATTTCAGCCTGACCCAGACCAAGCTGTTGGGGCATTTGGAGAGTGAATCAGAGGATGTCTCTCCCTCCCCCCCTCCTCCGCAACCCCCCACTTTCTCTTTCTCACCTCCTCCCTATGTCACATTGCCTTTCAAATACATAAATGCATCTTTTAAAAAATCAATTAAATCCTAAAAATTTAGTTTTTATGTGCTTTACAATGTTTAACCAAAAAATTCCAACCGTCCACATGACTATAAAGTCTCAGAGAAAAAATGAACAAGAAGTCTGCTGACATATGGTTTTTAACTGGAGACTCCTTTGGGACTTAGTGTGTTTACTTCTTAATCACTAATTGAACTTGAACTTGCAGACTTTACTAATAAATTTTCTAGCACACTGACTTCAGTTGAAATCTCTTATTAAATTAATAGTAAAAATAGAATCAATCTTTTAGCCATAAGAAAGACACATAAGCTACAGAGACAAAATATTGCCAGGAAACTAAAAGTAAATCATGTCAGTGGTCTACCTGCAAGTAGAATTTCTTAAAAGCAAGAATTTACTTCTGGGGCCAGAGTGATTAGACTGGATGCTTCTAATATATACATTTTGGAATTAAGCAAATCTGGAAAATAATATAAAATAATACATCCAGCTATATAATAAACTTTTATTATGATCCTATTTTTATTTATTTGAAAGAAAGAGAGAGAGAAGGAGAGAGAGAGAGAGAGAGAGAGAGAGAGAGAGATCCTGTTTGTACACTTCTCAAATGCCTACAAGAGCCAGGGCTAGATAAGGCTGAAGTCAGGAGCCAGGAAATCAGGACATGACTCCCATGTGGGTAGCAGTGACCCAACTACTTGAACCATCATCTGCTGCCTCCCGGGGTACACATATGCAAGAAGCTGGACTCAGGAGTGGGACCAGGACCTAAACCCAGGCAGTCCAATATGGGATGCAGGTGTCCCAAGTGGCATCTTAACTTTTATGCCCAAAGGCCACCCCTGAAAATTGTCTGTTAATGATTTTTCTTTTTTTAGTGCCTGTCTCATGGCACAAATGTCTGTTAGTTTCATTTTATCTCCAAGTGTGTTTATGTTTTATTTCTTGGACCTTTTTTAAATGGCTGCATTAAAGTCATCAGTTGATTCCAATAGCTTTGTCATTTCACTGACATGTTGTTTTAGTAGATGTGTGTTAAGTTCTTGTTATTTTTGTGCTGAGAAACATCTAACACATCTCAGACTTTCTGAATATGTGTTATGAGAGTCATCATTTCTAAAATTTATGTATGAAAAATTCAAAAAAGGGAATTCTGGAAGGAAAAACGCTCAGGTGACTTAACCATTGATTGTGTATTATCCCCAGTTCTTTTGCTCTAAACTTGCTGCTATTTGCTTTTTAGAGTTTACATGAATCTATTCCTGAATTCTTCTTGGGAATTTTGGCTTTACAGAGCCGAACTGAAAGGTTTGAGAGTGCTCACTCTATCTTACCCAGAACCAGACTAAACACTGATACAGCTAAATCATAAATTTCTTATAACTGACTAATCTGAAGTGGTTCACATAGTTTTTGGTAATCATATGATGTATTTACAAACAACGTTGCAAACTCCTGGTAAATATGTCATCCCAAGGAAGAGATCAGGGTAGATAACAACATCCTAATATTTGTATCATTATCATATTAAAAAGAATTGTGACTTTTGCTTTGATATTTTTACATCTCCATCTGTAGGAAATACCATCACACTATACACATTTCCACTATTGAGTATAATGAGAAGCATCTTGTGAGATGTGCTATACACATATGGACAAAATCTGAAGAAGAATAAAATTTGAAAATTTTCTCTTCGGCCATTTCTTTAAACTTTTCATTATCCTCTATTTTCATAGATACTAATTTGTATTGTAATGAATGCTTTGTATTGTAGACTCCAGATATTTGCTTGAAAAGAGGTCTTTTTGATTTAGATATCAGTTATAAAGTGTGTAGAAGTACCTGCCTTTGTTAAGAGTGACATACTTGGAATTTGGTACAAAGTGTAGACTTAATAGATAACCAAGTGATCTATTATATGTAACATAGAGCACAGTGACAAATATCCTAAACCTGAATTATTTTTGGAAAAGAGTAATTTAACAAAGTTAGTATGAAAAGGAAATTTCAATAAGACATCTGACTTTGGAGGAGCAATAACTCATCTTACAAAAAAAGAAAGTATACATTACTGTATTTTTATGACACATAAAAATAAGCACCTTTGAATTTCAGTAGATTTAAGGTCAACATTAGGCATGGGAAATGACATTGCACTTAAAGAGAGGGAGGAAACAGTGTCAGATTGAGCTGCCATCGTATCAGGGTGCCTGTTCGAGTCCTGGGAGTTCTGCTTGAAGACCTGCTTCCTACCAATATGCCTAGGAAAGCAATGGAAGATAGTTTAAGTACTTTGGGGAGACCATAAGGGAGACCAGAATGGAGTTCTGGCTCCTGGCTTTGGCCTGGCCCAGAACTGTCAGTTGCAGCCATTTGAGGAGTGAACCAGTGGATGGAAGACCTCTCTTTCTCTCTGCTATATACACACACACACACACACACACACACATAGATATAGATATCTGCCTTTCAAACAAATAAACTCATGTTTCAAAAAGAACTAATGGAAAAGGGACCAAGCCTAATTAATTTAGTCCTAAATTGGTGTCTTTCCATCACTTTGTGCTGGGTGAACAATGTCCGCAGCTGTAAGCTGTCCAAGGACCCAGGACAGGAGAGAATCAAGCACACAGAGCCCACACTCTGTAATACCAAAGCACAGTGTAGGAATACTGTCTGATTTTACAATTAACTTCACTTTGCTATTCAATATATAGCTGCTTGTAAAATGGTCAATTGGTATATTAAATGATAAAAGTGGTTTGCTTTAATTAGGGCCAATATTTTGCAGTTATTTGGCAATCAGTATGCTGTGTGTGGGTGTGTGTGTGTGTGTGTGAGAGAGAGAGAGAGAGAGAGAATGAGAGAGAAGAAAAAGTAAAGTCCTTTAATGATAAAAATCTAATGCTCCATATAAGGTCGCTTTTTATGGGATCTGAGGTACATCCCAAGCCAATGACCAATTAACACTAATATAGAAACTGGCTTCTATCATTGCTGTAACTCAGTCCATGGAGTGTGCAATAATAACCTAGAACAGACTTGGTGACCAAGGCAGAGCCAACTGCCAAGCCTGAGTTATGATAGTTCTACAAACAAGGCATCTCACATTACCACAAGCCTTTTATGGATGATTGCTGGAGTGTTTTTAATTATGACTCAGAAGAATCATATCATTTCATCTCCTTGTGTTATCTTCTCTGAACATCAAGGAGATATTCATCTGGTATGTATATTTACGATTGTTTTAACCCTCCGGTTCTTCCTTGGGAGGATTATCCAGGGTTTGGGTTTTACTTATGGGTTTTTAGCATGCATTCTGAATTTTAAGCAATACAATAGATACAGTATTCTGGATTCTGGTTTCCCTTTACAAGGCACATCTATTCCATCAAAATTTGTTGCATGTGCACGTAGTTGATACAGGGAAATCTGTGAGTCAGAATCTTTAACTCAATCTAATAATGTATTTGAGAAACTGATACGGTTAGATTTAAACTAAATCTGATGCTTAAAAAGAAAATCTAAATATAGAAAAGTTTGGTCATTGACTTGCTGCATTGTAAGGGGTGTATGTGTGTGTGTCTACATGTGTGCATGTGTGTGTAAATAACAAATTACATACCTAGAAACTAATGTGATTCATTTAATTGAGATTGAGAACTCCACTCCCAAAAGTTATGGTTATGATCGCAGCCAGTTCTGAGGTTTCTACTTCAAAACCAATTGTAAAAAGATAATAATGTTATTAATGAAATATCTGATTAAAAATCCCAGATGACACATGACTACCCATGTGCATAATGCTTTTGTGTTAACAGAATTGAAATAAGCAAAATTCTAGTGGCAATCAAGAATTTCTGTTTAGCAACTGACAATATAATTGTTGCTTATTTCAAGGCTGAGACTTGAGTCTGTTTCTCAATAGAATTTCTTGCTGTTCATTAATCATGGTTGAATCCAGGATGAGTTGATTATTTTCCCCCCATCAGACTGCCTCTGTATTTTGCTGACTTGATCTTTTTATCATTGTCCTAAAGCCCTATGATTATTTATGCCTGACACTCATCCTTCAACTGGCTTGTTTCCATCCATTATTGAACTGATTCTACCTCAGAGCACTGATATCAGTATCTATAATAGTCCCATCCATGTGTGTTTAAATTCTTAGTGTGCTTGTTATATATATAGACTAATGAAAGGATGGAAAAATAGCTATCCAAACATCGAAATTACAGGTCAACAGAAACATGCTGTGCAGGATTCTATCCAGATGGGTTTGTGTCAAAATATTTAGTTCAAACTGATAAAATGAGGCTTACTTTTATCAATTTTGAGTATTTTTCATAATAAATGATTGACTAAAATACACTGTACGAGACCTACATATAAGATACGCACATATACATAAAATTTGTTCTATTTTCATTATGAGCATCTACCCACAAAAATGGAGGGCAACGCTGCTCTAAAATGATTCTAGCTGTGAAATAAAGCTGGGGCATTGGCCTATTAGATAGCAGAAGGTCTATCTATAGTAGGTATTAGATTTGATATAATCCTCAGCATTTAGAGGAAACAGAGGTGGCAACTCCTCTTATTATTCGTATCAACTGAAAATAGGAGTTCAGTGCCGGGTGTGATTTTAGATGCTAGGTCGTAGAGAAGACTGCTTTCATGAAGCGTCAGCTTGAGACAGCTAAAGCATTGCAAAGCTATTGCATTTCCTGTCAGTCCTAAGGTTTAACTCTATCTAAAAAGCAGCATAAAGTCATGCGATTTCCATTGTGGAACAGTAAAGGCTTATTTAGAAACCATTAATGTTCAGCACACTTCCCCTGCTCCTTCCTCGCCTGATGGCCTAGAAGTGTAATGGATGTAGCATTGCATCTGTACAATCCAATTGTTGCCAAGGCTCTGGCTCATATCATATATGTCTTTGGGGAAGAAATGCATTTGAAACATATGGGAAATTTTTAATGAGATGATCATTTCACTTCTACATAGTTGAGACTTTGTGACAAAACTTAGTTAATATTGAACTGATGGCAAATATTGTCAGTCTTTAAGCACAGCCTCACAATAGCATGGTGTCATAGTGACAAATGTTTATATATGCATTGCTGGGAAAACAAATATTGATAATTTCCACTGTTAAGGAAATTATAACATAACTTTTTACAACAAATTCTTAATTTTAATTATTTTAAATATTATGCATGTTCACTTTTATTTAACTGCCAACAAATCTCTAATTTCATGATTTATAAAAGATCTGTTTTACAAAGGTATTTTCCTTAAGGTTGTGTACACAAAGATTATTTTGACTTTGACTAAATATTTTGACTTGACTAAATATTTATACTTTTGTATAATCATATACAACAATCGCTCCTCGGCCTTTTGTAATTATATACAACAAAAATGTGTATAAAATATGTATAAAAATATGCAACAAAGCCCAAATACACACAACGTACTAAGACTACAGTAAGATGTTCTTATGACAGCCTCCAAGTCCCCTTCACACATTTCTATGTGTGAGAAATGCCTTCCTCTACGTCAGATGTGCTGAGCATCATCATTCCTTGTTCCAGAATCTTGTTTGTACTTTATGTAGTCCTTGAGCTATGCTAAGGTTGTTGTGAAAGTACATACATGCACCTACCCAGGAACTGGAAAGACATGTTACTATGAAGGGGAGTCTGTCCATGCAGTTTGTGGAGGCTTGATTTTTCTGAGTATGACTTGTCAAATTCGTGGATGCCTATTTTATTTGTGAATCAGAGAAGTGTGTGTTAACTCAGTTTGTGTCTTATTTTACTATTTTGTGTTAATCTGTATTCTTGGGCCCACTGTGGCTATGGAGAGCAAAGCTTTCATTTTCTTTTTGGGAGAAAAGCGACTTGAATCTGATCACACTGAACTTCCGTTCCTCCGCAGACAGAAAGGAGGACAACCATGTTACCCCAAGTGACATCACTAAACAATACAGCTACCTTGTTCTACTTTCTGACCACTAGTGAGTGAACTGTACTTGCAAAATTTGCAGTATGAGTTGAATTTTCCAAAAGGGTGTTACGTGTGAATATTTGTATTGGCTTGAACTATGGAAGACTGGGCATAACATAAGAAATGCAGGGATTTAATATGGGGGATACGAAATACTATCCTAATTCATAACGTGGACTATAAATTAGTTTTCTTCATACAGACTGAGAAAAAAAATAAATGCCAGTAATGGAAGTTAGCCGACCTCTCTAAGGCTGCTGCTCTGACTCAGGGACTGAGAGCAACAGAGGGAGGGGATGGGAGGCTCGGATGTTGCAGATAGCAAGAAAGCATTAAGCAGTGTTAAACCTATAAACCTTGAGGCATGCAAGGTTCTTGGCATCGTATTACCTTTGATTCTCAAGGCAGAGAGCTATAGTGGTTAACCAGGAGACTCTAAAGTCAGATTACTTACTATTTGTGGACACGGATGCAACTTTCTCTGTTTTGGTTTAGTCAGTTGAAAAATTGGGATGAAAATGATAACAGCTTAATTACAAAGTTATTTGAGGAGATAAATTAGGTAAGACCTGGAAAATACTTACAATAGTGTCAAGAAACGAGGAATCACTATATTATTATCTATATCTTTGAGACTTGCTCTTCTCTTTTGCTAATAGACACATTGCCCTTCTGATTACCTGCTGTGGGAAAACAATACAAAACACAAAGCCTGGGGAAAACATTAGATCAATTTGACATGGTTTCAGATCTATGCTGTAATTTTGATATGTTTCAGACACAGGATAACATGCTAACAATTTATAATGGATAATCATAAACTTGAAACTTCCTGTAGCTCTTTCTTAATTAACTTGCTTTACAAATTTCAGTTTTGACTCATCAGTGAAATGGTACTGCTGGTATCAGAATTTCCACTATTAATCATAATAATGTGGCTATTATAAATCAGTAGTTCTGAAAAGTGATCCCTATTAAATATAACAGTGGGAATAAGAGAGGCAGGAGATGTATAGCTTGGCACATGTTCATTCGGATCTACCCCTAATGGTAGAGCTAGAAACATGCTAGGAGATTCCAAATCAATTCCATCAAGGTGGCATGAACCAATGCCATCTTACTAATCAAAGTGATCAGTTTAAGTTCATAATTGATCATAATGATAGGATTAAATGTCAAATTGATCACATAAATAAGGCTAGTGTCTGCTAATAATAACCAATAGAATTAAAAAGGAGAGAACGAGCCAACATGGGAAGCGGGATACACAGCAGACTCATAGAATGGCAGATGCCCTAAACAGCATTCTGGCTTTAAAATCATCCCCTAAGGCATTCAGATCTGGCTAAAAAGCCCATGCAAGTTTCTCAGGCATGGAAAGCCAAGACACTGTGGCAACAAACAAACAAACAAACAAATGAAAGTTCTCTGTGAGTGAAATCCCAGCAGAAAGAATGGGCCATCAAAGAAGGAGGTACCTTTCTCTGAAGGGAGGAGAGAATTTCCACTTTGACTATGGCCTTGTGTAAATATGATCAGAGTTGGTAAACTCAAGAGGCTTCCATAGCCTTGGCACGTCATGATTAGAGCCTTGGGTGATTACTGACATCATAAATAAGAGTGTTCATTGTTAAATCAACAACGGGAGTCACTGTACACTTGCTCACCATGTAAGATCTCTGTCTTTAATATGTTGTACTATGCAAATTAATGGTAAAACTACTACTCAAACAGTACTTTATACTTTGTGTATCTGTGTGGGTGCAAACTGTTGAAATCTTTACTTAGTATATACTAAGTTGATCTTCTGTATATAAAGATAATTGAAAATGAATCTTGATGAAGAATGCAATGGGAGAGGGAGTGAGATGGCTGTGGGTAGGAGGGAGGTTATGGGGGGAAAAGCCACTAGAATCCAAAAGTTGTACTTTCAAAATTTATATTTATTAAATAAAGGTTAAAAAAATTAACTAACTAACTAAATAACCAAAAAAATAAATCAGTAGTTCTTAACCATTTGGGGGTAAAATTCTGATAACATTATGGTTTTTTTTCTATGAGAAAAATAGTGAAATAGCTATTACATATGCCTACTTTTTATTTTAAAAGTTTGTGAGTTCATTGAATTACATCTTTGTATCTCAGGTTAAGAAATTCTGATTGAGACAATTTCACCATATATTCAGCTAGCTAATAATAGAGAACTGTTTAATT